TATATATAACCTTATGGTTGTACGGCAGTGAAGCATCAGTGGTAACACTGATGTTGCTGTCTTTGATGATGATGATGATGACAGCATCGACAGGTCCTATTGCTACCAGCAACTAGCGATCGTGATGGCATACGCAGATACCTCAAACACAGGATGATTATGAGCTTGAAGAATGGCAGTGAGCTGTTGAATTTCGAAGGCCCAGGAGATGGAGAAAGCTTTCGCTGCAGGCAACAGCCGCGCCTTAATTGATTCAATCAACCGGTCAAAAGAAGGCGGGTGTTAGCTGAACAGTATGCGAGAAGACGAAGCGGCGATTCATTCCATGAGTCGTTGCCTTGAGCGGTGGGCTGAGAATGTCAAAGACATTTCAGCTGGCCTCCTTCAAAACAACCGCTGGAAGAACCAAGCGGGCCCGAATGAAACAGTGACACCAACCCGCTATCAGCAACCGAAATTCAGCGTAGGATATCAATCCCGAAGTGCAAGAGGGCACCTGACCCTGATGATTTGCACCTAGCGCTCTTCAAAGAAGGTGGCGAGGTCCTGGTGAACAGTCTGACAACCGTACTGCAATAGTTTTGGAAGGAAAACAGGAACAAGCTCCTCGACCGTCATCCCAGTTTTTAAAAAGGATGCAAGAACGTTGTGTGAAAACTATCGTGGTATCAGCCTGGTATCCGTTGTATCTAAGGTACCCTCTAGCATTTTATGCAGGTTAATGGGTTATCAGGAGAGGCAGATTCGTGAGAATCAAGCTGGGTTTCGCCCTGGTTGAGGGTGTATCGACCATATCTTTACCTTGAGACGAATTCGTGAACAGCGCCACTCCTTCAGACGTCCCACGTTGATCGTTTCTCTTAAGCGGATAGCTGCTTTTGATTCTGTCAGTCATTAGAAACTTTGGCAGCGTCTGGCGACTAAATGTCTCTTCCACTTCTATGTCCATTATGAGAGCACTTTGTGCGAACTGCTGCGGGTGCGTAAGAGTATACGGCAAGCTTTCGCCTGAGCTCACCACGTCCAGTGATGTAAGACAAGACTATCCTCTTCCCCTTTTCCTCCTCAACTTTGTTGTTCATTCGGTGCTTGATATTTCTGTCTGTCTCTGAAACCTCGGGGGTCGAAATGCTCCGGGGACGTTCCCCCACGGACATTCAGTATGCAGACGATATTGCTGTCCTTTGTTCAGATCCTTCGAAAATGCAAACCATTGTAAATAACCTAAATAGCTCTGTCGCACAGTTTTGCATGCACTTCACACGTGCGAAGCGTAAAGATTGGGTGGGACAAAACCCAAACCTCGTGCTTGCAGACGAGTCAATCGACGTAGTAGGTGAATTTCTTTACATGGTTATTTGTATGCTTTCCGGTGGACTGGTTAGAGATGAGATTATTTCTCGAATAGGAATGGCCAGGGCGGCTTTGGCCAACCTCCGACATCTATGACGCCGAAATGACGTTTGTTTGTTTGTCGAGGACAGCGTGATCCACACTGCTTTATAGATCAGAGACGTGGCTTCTGTGCACGGAAGACATACGAAAGACGTCAGTGTTTTATCGGGGCGAGATGGCTGAGTGATTAGAGCGCGAATTTACTGGCCGGAAGGTCCGTGGTTCGAACCCGACTTCTGCCTCTCGACTTACTCTATTTAGACTTGGGCAACCTGACAGTATCCAAGCCCCCGTGCTTCATTCGGGTTGAATGGCAGCTGGGCGCAGAAAGGGTGTTACAGCTTAACGATTGTCTTTATCAGTGTTTTTTTATCATCGGTGTCTCCGAAGCATTGATCAGATCTGATGGGGACTTGGGATTGGTAGCGTTTAATTACGCCAGATGGTCCTAGGAAGAAGGAACACTCCCGCGATAGATGAATTACTCACGCTTCATAGGCTGCGCTGCTTAGGACATGTACTCCGGACTCCAGGAGATCGTCTACCTCTCAGAGCTCTTTTTGTCCAGCCCTGTGCTGATTGGAAGCGACCAAGAGATGTACAGTGTATGACGAAGTACGAAAATACTAACCAGTAAACTGAGTCGGGTCGACAACTGCCGCCTCCCCGGATGGTTCATTAATGACTCAACTCATCAATGGTTAATGACACTGGCAGAAATGATTCAATCGTGCAATTAGTGGTGCTCGTGCATAAAGGCTATCGCCTTCACTGCGTAGCTACATAACACTTGATTTCAAACAACCAACGGATAGCGTATGCGGAGCCCTTGGCTCCACTCTGATCTGTCAATAAGCGTAATGCGAGCACAAGGTAGGCTCGATAATAGCTCGAAATTACTTGAAAAATGAACAAATTCACTTCACCTTTGCACTTCCTCGGGTCAGTTGAATTCAATAAGTGATAAATCCTGAAAAAATGAAAGAGGGACACCAAATCTTTTTGTTTATTTTTGGTTTTATCAACGATTACCCCCTGTTGTGGGGTATTACTCTGTATACGGGTTCGCTGTGCGTAGCCAGCGTTACTATGCGATTCTGTTGCACGTCTTGGATCTCTCAAGTTCCTACTCTGTACTTGACCATATCCAGCCAGCCTTACATTGTACAGCAATATGAAGTTCCACTCTATGCACCTCTATAATTCATTTCCACAAATACAATCCTTGTCAGGGTCATTGACAGAAGTAGAGAGGTGATTTGCAGCCTTTGGTTATTTGTTCACTTCTGCTTCCAACTATTTACCCACCCATGTAGCGTCCAAACGAGCTTTGTTCAGTTCGTTACCAACAGCGAACAAAGAGGTTCACTGAATAGATCGGGATTTACAAAACAAACTTTTTCGAAAACAGCATAACTGTTCTCTGTCGCGCACGTACTCAAGAATCATATATCTTGGAGTTAAGTTACGTTTGAGTGTGACCCAATGGAACCCCGTAGGTTTTTATGTAATCCTGACGATCATTTTGTAAGATACAAGTGGAACAGATAGAGTTCTACAGGAAATTTCACAGAACGTGCACAAGATTGGCCAACTGGGTAAGTTGCAACCATACAAAGTTATCGCTATCGGACAGGCAATGAACTGGAGACGCTCAATCAGAATATTAACGTCTCTGGAAACTCTCGAATTAAGTCTGAACTTCTGTAGGTTTCTAATTATCATGTACTCACGCAACAGGAATCGCAAAGAGAAAGATGCAATCAAGCTTATCGAGGTCACTGGAGTTAAATTCACTGAACTTGCCTCTCATCCGATTGTTGAGCAAGTAAGGTTTTTTTTTGTTTTTACTGCTTCTGTAGACTACGAAGATTCACGCCGAGCGCCTGAAGACAGACTTCCAACGTTCTTTGCAGCGATTTCAGAGGATACAAGCGGTACGTTTGTGACATGCAATTTCAGTGAACAAGCGCTGAATGTCTGTGGGCGTCACGCCGGGGGGAGCGTGAAAATGCCGGTTACCATTATCTATTGAGACTGTTTTGTTGATAAAGTCGACTAATCAGTCATAGCAGTAGATGGCTGAAGGCTGATCGTCTATATATTTATCTCTCTGTAGGTCAAGAAGTGTTGAGCGGTTTTACCTGTTGAAGTGTCGTGACGCAGGAAAAAAGCACAAGCAATCAGTATTTCAACCCCGGATTTTTGCCCACTTGGGCGAAAAACGTCTCGCCTTTCTCCAACTAGAACGATTATGTTAATCCCCATTGTAGTCTTTTGCTTTGTTGATAGACTGAGCCGAAAATCATACGTGGCTGAAAATCCGACTGACTATCACACGTGTGTGGCGACAGCTGAAACCATCCTCATACCGAAGCCGGATAAGCTATGTTGGAATGAATCTGACTGACCTTGTAGACTGTATTGCCATGCACCTTCCACACGCCCAATTCATCCGAATTACTTGCTTGTTAGCAGAATAGGTTTTTGTAACGCGGATTTGGAGCTGTTATGTTCCCACTAAGCAGCTATGGTTGCATTGCCCGCTGTGTGCAGTACCTACGTATTCCATTCGCGAGATTCATTGGTCCTGGGGATCTGCTACTCATGGATACAACAGGTTCTCTGGCAATCGCGTGGAATCTTTTGATACGCTTTCTTTGAGATTTAACTCTCTGACTTCTGCATAAAAAGATTTATCACGAGCTGGATGACATTCACATGATCGATGAAGCTTTGATTGTGATTAAAACTGGTTAAAGCTCCCGGCACTGGTGACTGGTCAATTTCGGTTGTAATTCTCCCGTTATTACTTTAATCAGCCGAAATGATGGGTGTCTTCATGTACTTTTTAGCGCCTATCTGTCTTGCCAGAGATGTTTAGTTGTCCGTATAGTTGTCTATACTATTGTATTGCATGCTCTGGCCAGTTGATTCCAGTCTGTTTTGCGTATGCCCTATCTTACCTGAAAACTTGAGTCGTACCCGTCCGCCGAGTGGAACACTGATCAACAACATGACGTTCGTTGACTTTAAGATGCACCCATCAAGAAGGTCTGTCAATAGAATGTGAAAGAATGTAGAACAGCCGACTGAAGACTGTACTCCACGACCCAGCAAACACTGTAAGTGCAACATGAAACAGAAGTACACGAACTCTTGAGAACGACCAGCTGCGATGTACGTTGGCAATTAAACAGTTGGATTGAGGTTCACCGCTTCTTCCTTCAGTGGACACCATTATCCATCCCTCCTGAATGCACCATTCACTGGCCAAACAACCGCCTCTCAAGCGGATCCATCGTCCGCCTTAACTGGTTTTGGCCCTTGTCGGAAGGGAGCAGTTTAGTGACTGAAAAAAGTATACCATCAAGTTTCTATGCTCCTGCTGCCTTGCAACGGATGTCGTAAAGAAAATGACCGATATTAACCCAAGCCACAGTAGCCATCTTTTGAACGTAATGCCATCGGTGAACAAGGCATGCTTCTTGAAAACCGCACGAATACCGTGACAACCGACAATGCGAAAGTTATTTACTCGGCACCAGAACAGTTCGGTAATTTGGGTAAAAATTTGGTATCGATGATCAAAGTTTCCAGGACTTCATCAGTCATCATCTGCGAAAAACGATCAGCGTCAATTATTCCTGGGATTGTCTTCGACCTGTTCTCGAATTATAAAGGGAATGATGTGATGTTGTGTCCGTGATTTGATAGGAACTTCGCTGTATAGCAATTCATATGGCTATTCGGCTACATCATAACCCCTGTAATTTTAGTAATGGACACATCGGCCTGTGTCGTTTCTCGAAGGAGTCACAGGCCAAAACAATGTCGAAGCCTGGATTGGCGAATGGTGATCTCCTCAACAAATAATCGCAGAGTCTCTGTTTAGTGAAGCTTAGGTGTTACGGTGGGTCTCGTTGACATGCGGCAGAGGACGATGATGATCACTCTATCCGGCGCACAGAAGCATTGTGGCCAATGAACCTGTGTCATATCATTTGGGCTCAAACATAGTAAGCAGGGCCCATTCTTTTCTACAAATTAGAACCGACCTTTGGCAGGATGTTAGCTGAATCTGGTTATGAATCAAGAATATGTAGATCGTTGCGTACAACACATCGGTGGACTGGGATGGTTTTGTCAATCTACAGCGCGGGTGATAAGCAACGCGAGGCAGGCACCCGACTGCTTGAAGGTCGATTTCATTGACCGTCATTCAATGGTTGCCCTTAGACCATGTTTCCTTTGACGATTTCCATAGTACCATTGGTGTTAGCTTCTCGCCTCTATTATATCGCTGAATGTTTTCTTGTCCCACCTGAACTAGATGCTTGTAAAACCTGAGACGGCTCGCCCCAACGATAGCAGGAACCCCCAGTTCAGATTTGTACCGCATTAGCATCAATGTCACATGGCAGGTCGACAGCTCCCTAGGTTTTAGTTACCGACCGCCATCTTATTTTATTTTTAAGCAACCTTATGAGTAGTGTATTACGTCTGTACAACAATAAGAAGTTTTGTGGTGATACCTTTGTTTTACAGGTGTTCGTGAAAGGCGATGGAGAATATTTTGGGGAGCTTCTCACCAGAAATCATATCTGTCAGGACTGTACTTTATCACCTTGTCGAATTAGTTACCCAAGAAACCCTTGCTACTATCACCGGTATGAAATTCGATTTTGGGGAAGATCCCAAATACTCTAAGCATGCAAACGTCGCGCTATTTTTTTTCAAATTGAATTAGAACGTGAAGTGCACCAAATAGCAAAAGTGTCACCACGATCTTCACTATAAATGCAAAGCGTTACTGCAAGCCTTTAGATATCGTAGCAAGGTTCACTTGGCTGAGGAGCTGTATCACTTTGAACGGCAGCGTTACTTGCGGAGTGTTAGGGTTGCTAGATTTCTGTGTGCTTCCCTTCAAGGAGTCACCTATGAGTTCTCCTAATGATCCCCAATGCGGCTGTGAGCTGCCCGTTGCTCTACGGTCGTAAAGCATGACCATTGTGTGTGTTGATGACCTCGAAGCTTGGCGTTTGGATCACATTTGGAACGCTAAACTACCGTGAATGGCTAGTGGCAATCAATCGTTTTTGGATTATAACTTCATTATACTGCATCAACCACACTAGCTCGGTCATGTGCTTTGTACGTTAAGTAATCATTTGTCTCTGCCATGTTTGCTGAAACAAGTTTCGATCGGAATATATTACAGAATGAGCAATACATGACCTGGAGTTGAGGGGCGAAAAATAAAGCAACGGGTCTTAGCTCTATGCTGTATGCGTCAGGTTGGGGTATCACAATCCTACAACATTTATTTTTGGGATACTTACCAGTGGAACCATATTACACGACTAATGGTACTGTTACATCTATCATGTCATTCTTATTCTCGTTGACACATTGCTCTTCGTACTGCCTTGTCCCTACGTTACCCCCACTATTATATGCTACGGTGGCCAGAACCACCGTACACAGGTGTATGGTTGGCGGTTGTCAGACGGAAGTGAGGTGATTTGAGCTGCGATCATCACGTGATATGATTTAACGAGACAACACAACTGTGTGGCAGCCTAGAATCAGGACACTATCTTACCACTTTGACCTCGGTGTTTTAGCGTGACATGCGTTGATAAGACAGGCAATTGGTCTTGGATACGGTTTTCCTAGATCCAACACATATTTATTAGCGGTAATATTAAGCCAGACAAGTTAAGTGGTCACAGCTCAATTTCGACTGGTCAGAGTATAGTCAAATGGTATGGAGACGGACGGAGATGAAGACACGCTGTCTCTAGGGCTGCCGAACTCCGATGCACATAACTGTAAGATTGATGTACTCCTTCAAACATTCAAGACCCATTAAGGGGACAAGATCCGTATCAGACCGTTTGAGGACACCCTAACATTAGAATCTGACTGATTATATCTAACTCCTTTGAGTCAGACAGCATTGCTACTGATTTCCGAATAGTAGTAGTTTTAAGCTAACATTCAGTGTGATGTTTTCTTGAATAAACCATACTCCTAAGGTTACTAAAAACTCTTCGATTATCAGCAACCACTTCCACCTTTCTTGAACTTCATCAGGTAGGCGCAGTCTCCGAGTTTCCGTCAGCCGTATGTTCTGGCTGAACTTGAAATTCGCGAAGTACATTCACTTGCACACCACTTTCGCCTTAATGAGGGACTCAAGTGAATCCCATCTGAACATCTGGTCTATGCTGTTCTCCAGCTGAATGTGCTGCACAAAGGCCGCCTCATGTTTCAGTTGGTACAGTGTTCTAGATATTTCAATATATATGCTTGAAATAGCACTTTGCGAGGTTCAGTTGGGTTGATTTGAGTCTCGCGTGAAAACTAACTCGGTGTGCAATTAAGTGCATTTCGCGAGTCTAGTGGGGCAGCTTATCGTTCCTCTATCCAAACGCACTCACAGTTCCTCCCTTGTGACCATATTGGTATCGATTTTTTGTGTCAGAAAGTTCACTGCAGTCTACTGCTTAGCCCTAACGTCCTCGTGGAATAAAGGCCTAAGAATCAGGGAAAGACCAATTTGTGTTGGTTTTCTTGTAATTCATTAGGTTGAGTATGACTTAATCAGTGCTTATTTATGTGTATGGATGAGGAAATCGACATTTGTAGTTATGGAATAAAAAATCAGTTGTCTTTTCGTCACTTCCCTAGAATGATGTTTTCCTCTATTCCACATGCGAATATTGGGTACTCATTGGACGTCTAGTTTTCGGACGTGCGATGCGAATCCTCTTTTGGCAATAGTTGTCCTCTTGAGTGTCATGAATAACACTAAACACTTGATTCGGATTGGATTACCTCAGCTGATTCCAATATGAACTCGGGGACAAGGTTTTCGAGTAAATAAGCTGAAGCTACCAGCTGACTCGAACACGATAATACTACAGCACTGATCAGTCCCTCTTATTTTACCCGTGTGTCCTTTGGTAGATGGCGCCATTCTTCAACTCTTATTATTTTCAATGTAGTACTGTATCCATATATCAGTGGTCCGCAGAGCCTGCTGGTAACGAACCACTTTGATTGTGATCAAAGTAATAGACAGCAGAATTGTGGCCAGTTGGTCACAGTTCCGTCATCTTCCAGAGTAGAACACGTTTTCCTCTGAATAATTTCCAGATCTGCACTGTCATATTGCCCGTGGTTCTGTGTGCCAATCTCAGGAGTCTGTACGTTACATAGAGAACTCCAAGTGAACTCTAAGGAACCCTGAACATTTGGTTAGTGCCACACCAGTTTTTGATATACCCTGGTGTATATGACAAGACATGGAGGCATACACGGGAGTGGACGGATTTTTATTCTGGAGTTTCGTCGAAGTTAATCGTTCCGGTTAAAGGGACGTTAGTGAACAGTGTAGTCACCTCCAATGAACACATGAATGAATTTTTCAGTTCTAGATCCTTTATTGAGTCCACGAATTGAAATGTATCTCGCAAGCTGTGTTGAAACATGTCGTCGTATTGGCTCAAGCATTTTGACGAGCCATTATGCGATTTGGTGATAGGGCGCGTTGTGCATGCCTAGGATTGGCCTCAGCTAGCAGTTGGGTTTATGGATTTTTGGCAAGCCGTGTAAGCGAGGCGTTGTTGACCCTGTGGGCTTGACTTTCTTGTAGGTTGTCTTAGAGATGAAACCGTTTGCTTTAAGGCGTTTCAGGCATGTCACCAGTTGTTGCTCTCTTATGAGCGTTTTATCTTTGTCGTTGGCTGTCTGGCTGAACTTGATTGTGTCAGCCAGAATGACCATCATTTTTCGTATACAATCAGTTTTGTTCATAACTGGAACGATTAACTTCCTATGTAACTACATAGAAGCAAACAACTTTCAGTTCCCTATTCCAGTCAACGAATTGCGAGGACTCCTGCGATGCACATTGAACGTGCACCTACTGTTCAATGACACGCTCTACCGTCAAATTGATGACGTTGCCATGGGCTCACCACTGGGCCCAATGCTAGCCGACATTTTCATGAGTACACTTGAAAGTAGTCCCTCAATGGCTAGCATAGAGAATATGCAATATTACCACCGATATGTAGACGATGTCTTCGCTGTTGTTAACAATAAAACCGAATTGGAATTTCCCCAACAAAAGTTCACTAAGGTCCACATCGCCATTGAATTCACTTCGGAGGGGGAAACGGACAAATTCTTCCACTTCCTAGATGTTGGCCTTGAACTACGTCATGATGGTGCACTGAAACGATTGGTGTGCCGAAAACCTGCTTGTTTCGGGCAATAGATTAACTTTAGCAGCTTCGTGCCACTAAAGCAGAAACGGAACCTGATCTATAGCTTAACTAACAGAGCGAAGAAAATATGCTCTGATGAAGCACTGGAACAAGAATTCCGAACTCTCACCAACGTCCTGAGAGACAATGGATTCCCTGACAAGTTTATTACAAAGCATTTGAACGAGGAGAAAGCAAGCACCATCACAGCCACAGTTGGAAGGAAACCAGTTTATATTAGCCTTCCGTTGAAGGGAGATATACCGGCAGAAGACTTCAACCAGTTGAACAAGGTTTTCTCGGTCGCAACACTCCGAACCTGGTTCACTAGAAATCCTTTGTGCTACTTCAATCTCAAGGATAGAGCGCCTGTTCACGCCCAAAATATTTTAGTATACTCATTCTCTTTCCGCTGTGCAGCGGAATACATCGGACGCACGACCAGGCAACTCGGCCAAAGAATGAAGGAACACAATCCACCCTGACTAGCTTCTGGAACTAGGAGGACGATAACCAGCTCAGTAGTACAACATCTAGCAGACACGGCACACGACACGATACCCAGACAAAGCTTCCGCGTTGTTTACAAGGCAACGGCTAATCAACCCAGATCAGTACAGCAACGCACACTCGCGGTGGCTGAAGCTATCGCCATACGAAATCCCGACCCGATCGTTTGTCTTCAAGAACGCTTTGTTCGTGTATTGTACATGCCATAGTCCAACTCAACCCCCGCTCACCCCACATGCATCCCGTGCACTACCCGTGCTGATAAGCTCAGGTTACCCTATTGGTGACCTGACCTAGTTATTCTTTGATAGGTGGCCCATGTTGTCTCACTCGATTTGCTGTTCATGTACACCATGCTCATTCAACTATGTTAGATACTGTCCTCTTAACCTTTGCAAATGTATGTCTTGAAAAGACTTTGCCGAAAACATGTTCGTCAACCAATCTGTGTTCATATGGTCAGGTCTTTTACTAAGCTATTTAGCCTAAAAATCTTGTGACTATTCGATTTGGCGGGCTTGGCGGTTTCTATGTAGTTTTTGGTTTGATACTTCCTGTGAGTATGCTGAAAGGCGCTCAGTTGAAGTGAAACTGAATGGGACTCAAAACAACGGTCAGGAGCAGCGTACTCTCGTGGGCTCTGGTAACACCAGCTAGTTTGAAAAGCTGACGGTTAATGCACACCTTAGTGGACAGTATGTTTTAATCCGACGTTTTCGACATCGTGGGTGACCTTCACAGGTTCATGGTCAACTGCATACCATAAGGCGCTCAATCTGTTTGTAATATTCCAGCCGAATCGTTCCAGCATTTTCCAGCTGTTATAGGGCATCTTTCCTCATACCGCAACTCAGGGTTTTAAAGCCTTGATTCCTCTGCGTAAACCTTTCTAGCGGCCCTGTCCACAAAACAAATAATGGACAATACTTAGCAACAACGCGTTGATGGATACCTTACATGGATGATATCGTCAGCTAGTCAGTCATTTTAGAGCGTCGCTACCATCACGTCGATCTAGTATCCAATTGGCCTCTCAGATGTATTATTTTTCCTTATTTTCCTTATCATAATTGATCACTTCTGACACTATCAACGTTTTATCTCACTTGATATATGCATTTTTCACTTTGGTGAACAACAGAGTGTCCATAAACTGACTAAAACCCTTGGAGTTGGTCTTGTCGACCTTCGTCAAAGTGGCTTAGATCTAACTTGAAGCCTCCGAAATCAGCGGTTCGAATAACGGTTCATTATGGTCCACCGGATTCCAAATCTTGCATGAACAGCGGTAGCTAAATTTTAGTTTAGTTTCCTATCCTTTCAGGTGGACTTTAATGTGCAAATACAGACCAACCTCGTGTTGTCTGGTAAAATAATCTGATAAATTTGTTCGTTTGTCAGTTTATCCATCGATTGATTTCAAAGCTACTTTTACTGGTGTCAGTGTGGTCAGTTACCAGTTTGTTCTGTTTGGTTCTGATAGGAGATAAAACGGCGTCTGATAATTGAGGCTCAGCGCAATGAACCCCCTGTGGCTGATCTGCTCGGTTTGGAGGCTGATGGAGTTCGAACAAACGGAAATGAAGATGACAGTATGCTGTTTCAGAGTGGTCAGCTTCAGACACAAGTCCATCAAGGTGATGTGACACAGCTGGGCTACGTCCTACAACAAGAGGAACAGATGCAAGCTATTGAAGTGAGCTTTATGTGGAATGTCCTCTCATCCACGGATAAACTTCTGTTTTTGTACACTCGCCTACACGGATCATGTATATTTTTAGCGACAATATGGCTGTCCTCGGGTAAATCGCACCAATTTTAGGTGATCTTCTGAAACGTCTCCTTCCAGGGGAAGCCCGTTTTAGTCAGATTCTTAAGCCATTCTTCCCAGAAACGGTAATCGTAGCAAAGTTCCTCGTAAATGCATATGTGTATTTAGCAAGGGGAATCGGTGGCGTGACACTGGTGCATTCTTTTGGGTTACTTTTCAACTCGTCCGAGCTTATCTAAGTATCTGTGACTATAGCTGTCGGTAGGCCGGTTCTTATCCGAACAGGAGACAGGTTTTTATTTAAACACTCAGCATATCGGATGCACAAGTAATCTGTGAGGTCAACCGATTCGCTCAGCCCGTTACACGAGTAGGTGGCTAGTGGCTACGCTAACTGAGGAGCTGTGTTTTGCGCTAGCATTTCTCTCTCGTTATAACGTCCCACCTCGTGTTTCGGAAAAGTGACTTTGAGCTAGAAACGGCGTCTTCCTGAGCTCTACCATTGAAAGTGTTTGTATTTCTAATACATTAACTTTTGCTCTCATCAGAACACCTTCAGTGAGCATAAGAGCAATGTTATTTTACGATAGCCTGTCAGTAACGCGTGTTTGCGCATAAAGGTATGTGCGATGTGATGGTTGGCATAAGGCGCCCAACTGTGCTAAGTTTCATAAACGCGTTCGTTACCAAGTACGTATGTTGTGTGCGCTCATGGGCACACTTTTATCCTCTTTGTGGTGAACGCAGTTTCGTTATGAATCATCTAGCCTAGGTACCATCAAGAAATCAGTTGAACACTTCATGGCTTTCCTTTAGACACCAATGTTAGGATTACTTCCCATGTGACTTGATCAAGTGATGTATACCTGCATCTCCTCCATTACACTTTCTCACTATTTATGACCTTACTATCTCGAGGTTGTTACACAGTAATGATGCTCTTGAAGCTTCTGGCATGCAGAAGCGATGACACAGCTATCGGTGCGATGGGGCACGTTGACTCATATGTTTATTTTGAAAACAAGGTTTGTCGTATAAGGAACACTGTGGGAAATCCTTTTACGCAACCACTCAAACGGTGGAAGCCGAGGTTAGCGTTGCTCTAAATGAATTCGTAACGATGGTAGACCTTACAACCATGATCACAAGACATGTGATTGGGAATTCGGTAGCTCGTGCTTTTTCTCTCCTCTTCTGTGCTTGTAGACCTATCATTAACTGACTTATTACCGCTCATTCGGAGCCGTTGGCCCAGGCTACAACAGACCTGGTATGACAGGAATGCATAAAACCGAAGATTCGATGACGTGCTTATTGCTACGATCATCATGATAAAATACAGAATCTGAGACCCGATTTTGGTAACAGTTGACGGATGTCGAGGGACTGGAGAATGCAAATCTTCCATGAAAACCCGTCAGTGACAAAGGCCGAGGATACTATCTTGGTGAATCACGGTACAGCGCAGCTCGACCATAATTTCTCACCCTGTGACCACGAACTTGGGCTCACGCTCTATAAATCCGGGTGTGGGAGAGTGAGAGCGAGCACAAGAACATTTTTTTAAACATTAGGGAGATTCGAAACTCGTATTAGTAGATTCTGTCGTAACACCAAATCAGTTTGCTATATTAGATAGAACCGCGCTGCAGTTGTTTCATCGTTGTTGGGAACGATCGGTAGTACGCACCGCGAACCCACCACACTTGCTAAAGGAAATTGATTTTCTGTCGTTGGATTATGGGCCGCGGGCGTTCGATAGTACCGCTGAATTCCCCATAACTGTGGTGTTCATGAATTAGGCATTCCGCTTTTGCACACAACAAAAGTATCTCGAGTAATTAAATAGTCGATAGATCGATCTTTAGTTGTTTGGGTGTTTGCTTCAGTCGCCGTTTGTGCACACATTTGCACATGTACTTGTTCTCTGTGCTACGCGAAAAACAAAGTATCTGTGGTCTGCAATATTTGACGTTGGCCTAGTCTGGTGACCTCAGGATGCCTTATCAGGAAGTTGCACACGAACTACCTGTGATACTGCATGAGATCCTTGCGAAAACGTGGATTCGATTGTTACAAACCAACCCCGCCCCATATGTCGGACACTTGGCCGTTTCTGGATGTTGTGGTACGGGTGAACCTGACAAGAGTTGAGTAGTGCCCCACCACTAATAGTTCACTTTCTTCACTCAGCTTTCAGGTTAAAAAGGAAACATATGGAAACACTTGCAAGTCGTACCCGAACAATTGAACATACAAAGTGCACCCACCTTGGTTGATTAGATTTTGGATTGAGCTCAAAAAACATTTCAGGGAAAACTCTCAAAAGTAGCAGAATTTCGACGCTTCAATGTTGTCGCTGTATGTATGCTACGTGCTGCTCATAGGCTGGTTACAACTAGTGTGAACTTGGCCAAACCAACAGCTCCGGTCATGTTCATATGCCGCTTGAAACTGTTGTGAAAAACGAGCTAAACTTACATGTTTGAAATCATTATGCTTCATTGAAGTGAATAAATTCAACTGAACGTTTTTTTGCCCACTTTTGAGGTAACTAATACTTAGGGTCCTTCTTTTTCCTCCTTTTATCCTAGAGCATATACTTATGATGTTTTCTAGCGTCAACATGTGATGCTAACCGGTAAGGGAAACTGTGATTTGGTTCGGTTTAGGACACAAATCATCATGGCGCACCCTCCGCCTGCGGGTATCACCGGACCCCGTCGAAAATGTCCGCTATCGGAGGAGAGCTCTTACGGAAGAAATTTCCATGTATTCATTGTCGAAGTGTCAGATATGTTACAACAATTCATGCGTCCTACTGGTTGGAGATAACGGAGTGCGCATCAGCCGTAGTGGCTTTATTTATAGCGAAGGACTCCATTTAGCGTTTTAGTACGGTTGTATGTAGTGAAGAGATGGGTTTCCTTCATAAACCCCAGCATAGCTAGGAAGGGGTTAAGTATCGTAGTTCTGGGGGCAGAGCAACTGATACCTCGGGGGTTGATACCTTCCTCTTGAACGCATTACTTCCTCACGTTTACGCTTCTTGTATTTGGAATGTGAAAACAATTCTGCACCAGGCGAACGCGACAAATACCTACTGATAACTCGATCGAGCTGTGAAAGTAGGTCGATTTCATGGCTAATTAGAGTATATTCGTCAAAATACTTTATTGATCAAAGAAACAACCCGTAAGTATTTGATCTAGTGGAAACCTAAACGGTTCCGTTCAACCTAGAAGCAGATCCGAACTTCATACTTGCGGTCAAGTCTGTCGATATGTTCGATAAAATTGTCTGCATATTTCCGTAGGTTTATAGATCCTGGTGAGCCGCCGAATGATGCTATCACTAAGCAAATCCACAAAGCTAGTTTTTCAACATTCTTCATCTGTTCATATGCGATGGGTCGTGTCTATAACACCACAGTGCATCTCATTCTGTTGTTTGTGCAAGGAATGTGATCAGAAAATAAATGCGATCTGTAGATTTTCGCTACTAACATATTCGAAACGTAACTTAGTACATGTGACCAACAACTGTGAGACAAGTCAGCTAGTTCTGGAAACCAAAACCGTGTTTACAACAAAAGAGCCTGTCACACCTTGTATTACACACTGCTTTTACCGCATAATTTCCACGTCGTCGTCGGCCTATCAGCCCTATTCCACTCGGTTCGAAATGATATCAACGCGTATGAGAGAGCGTAGGAAAGTATCTAAAGTGTCTTCTTCCAGAAGTGCCATCCGATGAAGATGTCCACCCCCTTTACTCCTGTTCAACTTCGTCGTTGCCAAGGCGATGAAGTAAACAGTGAAAGGTCCTCCATATCCCGGTGTTCAGATCGTTGCTGGTGAGAACCTCGTGAGTCTGGAGTATACAAGTATGCAAGTATATACAAGGTTTTAATCTTTGAAGGGGAACAAGCCTCAACGTAACCATCATCTTACCATCCTTCTCTGTTCGCTTTACACCTACAGGCCAGCGAGTCACGCTCCAGAGTATGCGGTCCTCAACCATACCATTCGCCATTCAGAGAGAAGCACTGATGATTGTAAATACCTCAACGTTGTGTCTCATAAGGTCGCTTCACAGATTTACATCAACTGTAGAGTCAAAAAGGCACATGATTGGTTCTCAAGGATCACGCGTACTGTTGCACGGCACTGGGGTCTGGTCTCTATAGGATGGTGATCTCAGATATCTTCGGGACCTTGACCACCACTGCCTGAACCGTGTGGGCTAGCGACAACGGAAGAGATGGATGGTTATTTCTACAATAGATAGTTTAGTAGTGAAGGTTATCCAGAACAGTAAACTGCAGTGGCATGAACATACCGAATCACCTACCGAGGTGAGCGTTCTCTCTGTCTGTTTCAAATGGCGCATGCTGTGTGACGAACAACGCATGAGTGCCACTGTTTGTGCCACTGTACGCCTTCTCTCTGTGAAGATGAAATCAGGAGTTTAGCGCGTACACGCGAAAGCCCAACCGAGTTGTCTTGATTTGGAGTCCGGTGTAAAAGCACTGGCAGATGTTGCCGAGTCACTGGGATAACAATTTTCCTGATTTAGAACAGACGTTTTTCACATGTAGCTATACCAAGTTTAGGATCACTTCAACAGTATTGTGTGTACGGAACCGTTCAAGGCGCGGTTCTCCATGTCTAGTTGTTTCCTACCTGCTCACTGTCGTATGCGATTTAAAAAACTGTGGCAGATATAAGGGATGGATTGACAGAAACTGTTCTACCTGAGTAACTTCTTCGTAGACCACTCAAGCAAACTCCTTTGCGTTTATTCCTGCCGCGTACTGTATCAACCTCCTTTCTGCCATCATTATCGGTCAAAAGCTGTTAGACCGGGTTGAAGAACTCATTTTTGACCAATTATGGCAGCTGTCATTTCACACAATTTTTTGTGCAGTCTTTCTCAGACTCGTTCCATTTGCTTCCATATCGGTCGATCATAGAAGTCACGAGACCAAAGTAGTATTGGTTAGACTTGAAGCTCAGTCGCCGTAGAAGAACCACACTAATTATGGGAAAATAAAATTTTCATGGTTTCTGCGGCGAATATCCAGTACGATAACTGTCGTCCTTGTACATGCTAACAAGTTTGGAGGAATTTGACGCCTACGGCAGACACTGCACCTATAAGGGAGATGTGGTTCACGCTATTGTGCTGCATTCTGAGTGTGCCTGCCTTTTGTACGTTGTGCGTACATAATTCACTTTGGGTTGGTGATCCGGTATCCCTTCTCTGCCCTCGATTTCCCCATATTCCGAAATATTTTTGAGCTAAAAGATAAACGCCCAGGGTTGAAACTCAGCTAGCCGCCCCCCCACACACTTGCTGGACGGCCGCTCTACCAACCGAATCTCCCTAGGGCGTTACTCGACCTCATGTTTCTACACTTGAACTTCACGTGAGTCACCACGCATCCGCCTAATAGATTGCGAAGCGAATATTGGGGCATCGTTCTCGGTAGCTTAGCTAATAGGGCGCCCTTCAGGAAGTTGGAAAGCCACTGATTCAACTCCAACATCAGTCTTGTGTACGTTCGTTTATGCATTTCGGCCTTTTGTTTATGGTTTATAAACACCGTCCACTGTACACTGATTTATTTCTGAACACCTTGTGTGTAGTCCACGGCGCTGGTACAGGTAACTACGTATTAAGCAACAGAAATGCACTCTGGTCGGAAATTCCATGCCGATAGCTGTCTTGTTTGTCAAATTAGATTTGCTCAGTTTTATTTACTGCGCTTGTCATAGACATCGCATCCTTGAGCCAATCTGTCACTACCTAGTTTGTGGTGTTTGTGCGCTTCACTGATTACGGACGAGTTATTCACGTATTCGTTGGTACTGCGAACAACTACGTGATAGTAAACCATAGTCGACAGTAGTCATTGATATACGCCTGCTACGCATCATCATTGCAGTATTTTCGTTTTATTTATCTGGATTATGTGCACTTCAAATAAGGTGGAACAGTGAACACACACTTCCTTCCACTTACCGTCAGACATCCTACTAACCGAGTTACAGAGGGACTTTCTCCCTCTTAGGCAGCTCTTGAACTCTACTTGTACCCCGCCGAGGCCGCAACAACACTAATGTAGCCCCTGTGAAACTTCCGCAGTTCCAGCGGGTTTTAAAACCTCTCTTATAGTTAAAGGAAATCGCCCAGGAGGTGATGATAGCTTATAACAGTAAGTCTTTCCGGGCCACCCACAAAACAAACAGTAGGCGACCACAGTGACACTTGTGGGCGATCTGCCCAGAAATACCTAGCGTCATCCAACTATCCTTTCAATGACTATTATCATCTACTCACTGTTAGGTTGTTGATTTTGTCAATTTTCAATTGTATTAATTATCATTCATTTCAACAAAGTAATCATCGGCAACCTTGTGATTGTGAGAGTGAAGTGGATTGAACGCACCAACGATGTTGGATGCTTGGGAGTTCATTTAGATTACGAGCAAGAAACCACCAGTTTTCATTTGATATAGTATTGATGTGTTTTCAGGGAACATCAATCCCTTAACTTTTCAGAACGATTCTCATGCATAGCCCCACGAAATGTGTTCCTACACGGCAAGTCGATTCATATCGGGACCACGCTTTACCAGTCCCAGTGCATTTTTGAAATGTATGCTATTTTAAACTACTTTCAAGTACATAGTAGCATGTTTTTAACATTCTAGGAGGACATCATGAACGTCAATATCATTTTCGAGCAACTTTCTACGCTCGTTTATGATCAACGTACTGCTGTGGATACGATCGAAGACAATGTAGAATCGGCCTACGTAAACCAAGTATCTGGTACTACTCAACTGGTAAAAGCCGCACAAAGCAGGGTACGTGTTGCTGACCTGTCTTGTGTATGCTCCACACTCAACCATATGTATCTTTTTTGCTAATCCTGCAAATTGTCTTCTGAGCGAACGGCAGGTGGGTAGTATAATTGCTGCTGTTGAAAAAATTCCAGAATCTGTAGGTCGGAAGTAACTTATTGAATAATTGGCACGTGGCATATGCCCGCGACTTGTGTACTATCGAACATTATCATTTTTCACTTGGTACCGCCATTCTGAGAGACTTTTTAGCCAAATACTACCTTTGATTTTCCTATCTTTGGGTTCTTTGGATAGATTCTGTTTTCACTGAGACGTGAATGGCATTTATACGAACACTGTCGACTGTATTTCAATAGACCTGAGGGTCTTTTCGGTTCTCACTAATGATACTTTTTAGATGGCATTTGGTCCGTTTATTCACGTTTATTTGGCGAGTTCATTCTACTGTCTACATGGTGTAACCACCACTCCCGCGCAGTTTGCAGTTATAACTTTTTCAGTCTGTAGTCAGTAACGGAGGTGTATTTTTAGTGTACTCTTTTCTGTCTGTTTTTTTTTACTTTTATGAGAAATTCTGTCAACTTGCATTTTATCTCACCAGGCCTATAGAATCCAAACCTTTTGTTAGTGTATCTTCCTCCTAAGTTTCACTGATTTTTGCACACACATGTATTTTCTCTTCGTCGCTTAGGTGCATTTGTTATCCCTAGGGGAACAGTCCCCTTCCGAACTTGTACTCTTTGCTTACACAACAAATGTTATGCGTTCGACTTCTCTGCCCGACTTAACAAAACCAACTGCTTTTGGTTTCATTCAGCCGGTTATAAAAATCCTATGACCCCCTCTATTTTCGGACATGGGTTACAACATAGCCTTTGTCTGGTGTTTCCAGTTAGTGTTTCGCGGGATGCTAATCTTCAATCCTGTCTGGTACTTTTGTGTTCGACCTACGCGTCAACGATTTTCTTAGTTTCTGGATGGTTTGTTCAAAATAGCTGGATATTCCTTTCACAACCAGAGAGAATTTTTATCGGGCTCGATTAATTTTTGGAGGCTGGCACGCCTGAACGTCTCCTGTGAGGCAGGTTCCTCTCTCGTTAACTTTGTGTTCACCAGGGAACATGTAGTTCACTCTTACTTCCCGTCTGTAGATTAATACTATGCTATTGTCCGAGCCGTATTCCCTAAGTAAGTCTCGTTTATTCATGGGCACTCACCGGTGTATGACATAAGATTGCGAGCAGTTCCTTCGCTAAATGTTGAAGTAAGTCGTTCCGTTCTAGCATTTCGCTCTTTTGAATCAACCCTGTCTGAAGGAAGCCAACGACGGACTTTAAATTCTAAACGCGCTTGTGTTATCCCTCCTCCTGGCACGTGTCTCTCTATTTTCCAGCAACGAGCGCGCAAGCGATGTTGCATCTGCAGCATCGTTCTTGTCATCGCTTTGTGCATCACCATCCTGGTGTTGATCATCATCTACGGCCCTAAATCGAAGAACTGAGACGTCAGCCATCATTCCACATCAGTTCAACTTGCATTGATTCAGAGGCGCGTTTTGTGATGTGATTTTTTTCCTCGCAAGTCCAAATTTCATTTTAAAAACTGATTTTGTACAGACCCTGCCTTGAGTCATCAAGCTCTATACGCGAACTTTGGCCCGCCTTCTCTAGAGCTAGATGATAATCAGTTTCTTTTCTAATCCTCGTCATACTGCCCCCCCCCCCCCCATCCCCAAATTCACATTCAGAGAAAAAAGGTTTTTCTGCACAACAGAACCGTTCTTTTTGTACAGAATTAATTTCACAGTAATTGAAGTCGAATTAATAACTTCACACTGTTTTCAATTAAACTAAAGCTTTACACGTGTATACACAAATGATGGGGTATGGAGCATCTCGGTACTTGGAGAATGGATGGACTATCTGCACCCCTAGCTCCCTTAGACACTGTAGAATGTTCCAGATGAGTTTTGTCCATACCAGCTGGTTGACAGTGAACCTTTGAACAAGGGGGAGGGGAGTGGGTCTGCTGTCAGTTTCTTGCCGGCGAGGGTTGAGTTTTTTTTCCACGAATGTCTGTCCGGACGCACTATCAGCCATTTGTTCGTGTGCGCAACGAACTTCCTGTTATTTACAATTCACTTTCGCTGCGTCCGGTTTCACCGCTCGTCCTCACAGTTGCACTAAATGCTTGTTGCGGCGCTGAGTATTTGCTCTTTGAGCTATCATTTTGTTTGGCGCATTGTGTGTGTGTGTGTGTGTCTATGTGTGGTTGGGGAGAAATCGGATCCTCTGCAAAGGGTGTAACTGTTTGGCAAATGTTGTCGGAAGTATGTAGGAGGGATAAGGGCGGAAATGAACGGTTAAGCGAATGTGTTCGTACCGATGGAATGTACGACAGAATGTTACCTGACTAGAATAAGTAAATAGCCGACAATTCCTCACGGTGGTATCGTCTTACGGCGTCTTTTTATCATACAAAACTGGCTGCATTATACGTCTCTAGCGGGCTACTACCTCGACGCGGTTCAATGTTAACGGTGACCGATTTGGCCATGGTTTTGCTGGGAGAATGGGTGTTGTATATGCGGGGCTGGGCTCCACTACTTGGATTAACGCAACTGATTGTTTTGTTCTTGGAACTTGGTTTTTGTTGACTGCATTTGGTTTGACTCGATTTCGTTCGATCCCTCTGTTTGAACGATCGAAGCGCTTCGGCCCCACTCTCGGCCGCCTGATCTTCTGACTTCATCTCGTCGGTTTTCGATGGTGTGAGGTCAGTCAAACTGAAGGCTCGATCGCTGACTAGTTGGATCAGTTTGTCGTCCGATCCGGATCCTGTAGCTAGTCGTTTTTCCGTCAGATCCGGCTGGGACGCTTGTAACAATCTGAACATATCTGAGGAGTTCGCCGTACCCAACAATGGTGTATAATGTCCCGTTTTGTTATATGCTTGTGGCCCGTTTTCTACCAGTATGTTGCGCTGGAAACAGTCGTTGTTCCCTCTGAATGTACTGTGTGATGGTTGAATGAGTGTATTTGGATTCAGAGTCTTTGAACGTTGATTCAGCTGCAGGGTCTGGTAAGTATGCCCTGTTTGGAGGCGATGAAATCAGGAGAGAAATGGAAACGAAAAATAAAATCTACAAATTCTCAGGCAACTGGTTTCACTCGTACGTTAGAACAAGTGGATTGCTCAAATTGAGATTTTTTGATTTATTCGCCTATTATCAAGTCCATTCATGTGTAAGCGCAAGTAATTGGATCAGTGTGGTATTCATTCACTGATATTATGACTGAACTTCTCAGCTTTCGACGGTAGCAGGCCGAATCGCAACTAACCGAATCATTCTAGTGTCTGGCAAAAAGGAAAGAGATGTCTCATCTACACCATGAGGGAAACGCTGGTTGTAAAGATGGCTGTTGTTCTGTTCGCTTTGGTTGGCAATTAGATTGCAGACATTTTGTCGCCATCTGGGATGACATCATCAGTGCCTAGTAGATTAGCGGTACGTTGTTTTAAAGACCAGCACAATTTGGAAAACCAGTTTTGCGGAAATCAAATTTGCTTTTACTCTGAGGTACTTCTACATCGGGCATCTTGCATTTGGTACTGTCTTCGGGATGGAGGACCAACAGATCTCCGGTTCATTAATTCAAACTGTCTCAGTCCCTCCAACCATTGGATCTAGCGCGAACGGTTCATTGTTCACAACTAAGCAACGTATAATTCAGGATAGTCGAGCGTAGCGGTGGTGATAACCTGATGAACATACGGGTAAGTGTCGTTTTCGCATGCTGTAATCGGGACACGAACTTGGAAGGCAGTTGATCGTTCAGGTGGACAATATATCGGGCGATTCTGAATGAAGTCGGAAAGAATTCTGTATCCAGCGAAGTCAACGAACGGACCCGACACCACATCATACCTGCGCCTCACTTATAAGCACTTACGAAAAAACTAACCTATACGATCATACACAGCACCTCTTAGGTTCGCTTCATTCAATGAACATCCATTCAGCTTGCAGCGAGCACCTTACATGAAAATGCACGCCTCGTGGTGAATCGGGTAGGCGGGTAGGTAACATTTTTCGCATCTGGTGACAGGTGTTTTAGTCGAAATGTAGTTCTAAAACCAGTTCATGTTCTGAGCCGCGCGGGTTCCAAAATTCAACGGAATTTTCACTTCCGAAGACTTGCTTCCTCCATAACGAGTTAATAATCGAAGGTTTCCCCCATCGATTGAATTTCTTCAAGTGTGTTTTCATTTTTCTACTTACCAGGCGCCCATGCCTAACATCAGTCAATCTAGAAATTGATGGTGTGTGCTTTTTAGCGCCTACCAAGTAGAGTACTAGATTTGAAAATTAGTTGCTACCGTGTAGCAGGTGAGCCCCTATGAGCTCTTGCTATCCATCCAGGCTTATCATTTAAGCGAATGAGCAAATCGAACAACGTTTCGAGATTTGCGTAAAGCTGACTACCCCTTTTTTAAGGAACCGAGCACAGCAAAATCAGTTCTGAATGAACTGATAAAGAATGCCACTAAGGATTTGATGTTTTAGGCTCCTGGTCTCTATCCCGCTGCTCGAGGCGCACTACCATCGCCCGTTCAGGAGACTGCCGGAACATTATTCGTCTCGTACTGTGTGCATTCTGTCTAAATATGGCCGCAGAAACGCCTGTCGTGGCAAACGGAAATTAGATTCGGTATCAAGGCTATTTTACTACCAGTGTACCGGTGTATACTACTGCTGAGGCATGTGAGTAGTCTCAACCCAGCCTCTGATGAAAGGTGAAGTTGATTGCGGAACCTGTGGAAGTGCTGTGCGGTGTTCGTTTACAATTGTGCAATAGTTAGTGGATATCCATAAACGTTCAGGGAGACGCGTGAGAATGCCCAATCTTTAAAAACTGTGTTAATGAGAAATTTACTCTTGTCCAATAGCATGTAACTGCTTAGTTGGTGTTTGCTAATAAACGACTTCGCGACGGAGAGTTTTCTCCTTTCACCAGTACTACCTGTAACTTTACGTCCACTCAGCCTCAGGTACGTTCAAACACCAATTACACTCCCTCTTGAGTGGAAGCGACGTCTTCGCCAACTTCTCATCATGCAATAAACGGACAGACTAGTCCTGATTTTCGTCCAGATGGATTTAGTCTGTACCGACAGACGTCTGTAATGTGCAGGATGACTGACAGTTCACTCAGAGTTCCTAGGCTTCACCAATTCATCAATCTGTGCGCCAGCGCTTCCCAGCTGTGTGGCTTCACATGAGAGTGTAGAGAAGTTTATAAGTATGAAACACACGAAATACTTATGGCCTAGAAAGGTAACGTGATTTCGAGGTGACGTGGCGTCTGTTTAATTTTCCAAACGAGACTGTCCAAATGGTGTTTTTGACGTGTTTCTAATTGGGGTTAACTTTCAGAATACCATGTTGACATGGTTGGATAGCAGGTTAGACGAAGACTTGGTTAGGGATACATTCGTTACCAGACGTAAATCTGCGATATGTGGAGCGCTTTTTTGGCATTAAATACAGTTGCTACTGAGCTGTGTAAGAAATTCGTTCTCTACAAATTGGCACTTTTTGTGGAATGTTGCCCCCATACTGTGATTTCAATCTTACTACAGTTGTAGTGATTAGTTGGATCGCGGGATTACTGGATGACTTGCTGATTTGTGGTGCCGTTGAGGAGAAGTGTACACAAACGCACATCATCCGGTTGTCATCTTGGAGAGTTTTTGCCATCGGGAATGATGTCTGCATTTTATCACGCTGCTAGCGGTGCTATGTTGTCCATCTGACATCTAGATCAGGAGCGTTTTTAATAAGTTACTGCGGTTTTCAAACGGCATATTTAACTAATGCAAACTGTGGGAACGGGCAAGACAGTGGTGGCCTTACGCTAAGTTTCAGTCTCTAGCCATCTGACTCCGTCCGGTCGTATGAAGTAGCCAAAAGTGGGTTCATATTGATGGGTCACATTGTAGTGACCCTGCGGCGAAGTTGCAAAGGCATAGATCGGGCGAAATATACTCGTTTGCAAGTTACCTTCGTGCAAGCGAGGGATCCAGTGGAATCGTTTGTGCAGAGCTGCAGTCACAATCGGTTTGTCAGGAAACTTTTGGTGAAAAATATTCATACCCATTGTCTAGAGGCCTAGTGATGGGGACGTAATGTGCCGATCCGTAGTTGCATAGGGCATGCCAGGTTGAACTTCCTGACTCACTGTGACCAAGTGTTTCGAAATCGGTACATATGGGTCGCTGTTACTTTTTTGCTGCCACAATCGATTTTGTCCTGTTGAAATGTGCTTAGTTGTTCCCACATTATCAAACTGAAAAATCCGTTAGAAATACACCACATCAGTTGGCTTTCTTCGCCGTCCTCGCCTCCTTCATACTTCCTCATCCTAGGAGTATCGTCTCATTTCCTTAAATCTCCGAAGGGCTCGAAGCGAGAGAACATGCGCTCTGAGAATACACAAATTTCGTACCCTAGCATATACAGCAGTACCATTCCAATACTACAGAAACGGATCGACAAAGGTGGGCTAGCCATTGGGCTGGCGACCGCTCATCACATGTTTGTTCGTCGCATACTGACGAACTGGTATCCACACTGATTTTCGCTGACTTGCACTGCGTTCTCTATGCAGTTCTTCAATTGGCGAAGTGTATATTACACGCCAACTGGGCTCTTAGAAATCATTTGAAAAGAATTTTTAGAAAACAGACTAATTGTTTAAAGCTGATCCTGAAGTTTCGGGTTTAGCTTCAAGTGGGTTATTCAGAGCCTACCTCCTTTAGTCAGGTTGTTCTGTGGCTGCGGTTCCACGTATCCATACAGGTCTCCATTTGCTGCCCGGTAAATCACTTGTGTAGGTGGACTAAATCCAAGCGGGTTTTCCCTCAGTGCCGGCTGCATGCGACCTTCACGTTGAACGGTACCCAGCTCCCCGGAATTCAAGGTCGTGTGTGTCGTCGACGGTGGCATTGTGCAAAAGTAATGCGTGTTCAGCATGGCTTGTGGACCAAGTTCCAATGTGACAGACGAACAGTTGATATCATCCAAGCGTGTTAATGTTGTGGGTGATAGGGAACGTTGAGGTGGTGACCCTGTCTTCATCTCGTGCATTGAGTGGCCACTTTGAGACCCCTTGTAATACAGTCCTGCGCGAGAGCCATCCATGGTTCGGACGACGGGACTGATCTGCAAATTTGGGGGACAATGCATGTGAATCACTTATGTCTGGTTACTCTGAATTACGTTAAAAGTTTCCTCCACTCATTCTACCAGCAATCGTAATTCAATTTTTGCGATTATCAAAGGTTTGGAATTTTTCACCTCCCAACGAGATCGTACTGTAATTCAGTTATGATGTCACGGATACCCATGAACTCTTAAAACTACTCTGGGATTGTAACGTCGAGTGCTGATTCTGCGCTATTATTTGGCATCAACAAAATCTGTTAATATCCAGTAGTTTACCAATCACTCATGGGTGTTTTCCATCCTTCGCTCAATAGTTGAATTTGGTTTAGTTTATACTGAGCCCAAAAGCTCTTAATTGTTAGAGCATTTGCATCTGATACACAAGAAATACGTTGTCTTGTTCGGTCAAGAGACGACTTTCTTAATCGTTATCAAACGCCAGTTTTGTCCACAAAAAGTTCAATCTACACGGATGTGTACAACGGTATATTAACGAAGAAGTTATCACTGAATTCACCGATTGGCCAGTCTTCTCTCCTAGATTATTGGAAATTTTGTAGCACCAGGTCTGTCACAGTTTTAGCATCACTACATTTTGATTAGACTTCATTATGGATAATGCAGTTTGCTTGGCGGATACTTTGTGACGCGACTGTTTAGCTGGCCGCATTTGAGGTGAAGGGAACAAACCAACTATCGGGAGATGTTGGCGAATGCAGAGCCATCTTGCGCCATCAGTTTTATGCACAAACTGCGCAGATCTGACCAAATGTCACTGCTTTTAGGGAACATCAATACGAGACAATCTTGAAGCCGAATAATCCTGTGATAGGACATCATCGTCCCAAAGTAAGGAGTGGCATCGGGCCACTAATTTTTCAGAGGACCTCAAGTGCACACAATCTTACAATACACCTGACGTGCGCAGGCGCTTGTCAGCATAGTACAAGAAAACTTGGAAACTGATGCCAACATATATACTTTCTTATCGCAGTAAATACAGGCAAGTAGTGAAACCCAGTTTAGCTTCATTGTGACTAAAAAAATAAGTAATGCCTGAGCATTAAATTTTTACTTCGCTTCTAGTAGCTATTCCTCCATCATATCAGACACCTTAAGTCTTTCGGCAGAAACAATGCACAGAGAATAAACCGCTAGCCTGACTTACCTCGCCTGGCTTTTCAGAGTTCCGGCCCATACCTCCGTCCTCTACAAACAGACAAAATTGAAACGAATACTTATTTAGGGATGCGTATCAGGGTTCCCGGGAACTGGCTGAGGCTATCAAGGAAGCTTCTGAGTAAATTCCAAACACACAGACTGGCAATTATTGACGATCGTCGTCGCCAATGGGCTCAGCAATCATCTGCTTTTCAATATCACTTTATTCCAACTAAAAATGGGACATGAGGAGGCATGGGGCAAGCCACATTTAGGCTATTAACTACCAGAAACAACAAGCGGTACGCCTTGCGCAATTTCCACTCCCTTCTGAAGGGACCATTTGGATGAACCAATCAAAAGTGGACACCTCTAGCAGACGATCTGTTACCGTTGATCCATCTATTGTTCCTTCAGCTTTCGTGTGATAGGACAATTAATCCTGTTAGAAAGCCTAATTGAGTAGTTCTTCAAAAATGGCCAAAAGTACTTCACTTTATCCAATCGAATTCATAGACAAGTATTGGCTACGGCAAGGAAATTGTTGGGTGCTCTGAAAAAAAGCTGAAAATCCCAGTTTTCTGCTTTTCAGCTAAGTTATTTTTTCAGCTAACTTTGTACCTGGAAATCGACATTTCCGTAGTGATTTCATGCAGACTCATTTTAAACTAGGAGCGTGTTGGCACATATGAATTGAAAGCATATCTATCACTCCGGTGATGCCCCGAATCGATTTAGGGATTCATTTGCAACAGTTGCGTTGCACCATTTTCCCATACCGCTCCATCACTTGACATTCCCATCTACCATTGCCTAGTTTTTATACAACATCTGTTCTACACCTGTTCTTACAAAACAGAGTTACCTACAATAGGCGGGTATCAATGAATTCACGGATGAAGCATGTGTTGTCCCGAAATTCGTGTGATTCTACTAACCAACATCTGCTGGACTGGGGAGTCCAACTTTATCTGGAAAAGCCCCATGTAGTTAATCTGTGCCATGGCGCTTATGCTGCTCACACGCTGTCTACCTGAAAGATGGGCACAAGCAGGAAAATCGATGTTCGGCCTTGTGGGAATGTGGATCTGTTTATTGAAGATTCCTTCCGATCAGGCTGAGTCCTCAACCAAAAAGCTACATATCACAGGTAGTCTCCTCGAGACTGACCAACACGATGAGAGCACACGTCCTCTTCTGGGGGGATCGCCTCTGTTTGGGGGATACTGTGGTTGTGATACTCAAAACTTATCACAAAAATCCACGGAAGACTACCCAGTGTATTTTCATGAAGGAAACTACTCACAAGGTTGCTGAAAACTCTTCGACAGCCCACGACCGGTTTCGCCCTTCTTGGGGCTC